TCGTAAATTTTAAATAGTTTTATTTCATGGTATGTTAAAATGGTTTCAGATATTGAATTTTTACTCATATTTATGAAAGTTACGTATAAAGTATCCCGAAATCCCGAGATCACAATTTTCCGCATATTTTGTCATCCCTAGTACACACGTATGTGTGTGTTTGTTTATTTGCTTTCTTCAACATATTCGATCGTGAGATACATTTGTCGTTTGAATTAACTAGATTTACTTAATTTCAGTTTATTCCATATTAGTTTGAATTTAACGTAATTTAACTTCAGTTTGACGTTATTTGATTTAATTTAATCTGATTTTATCATTTTTTTATGAAATTTAAATTTTATTCTATTTTAATGGACTATTTTAATCTTACTTGTTATAATTTATTTTAATTTTATTTTAATTTATTTGATGTTAATTTTAATTTATTTAATTTTAATTTCAATTGACTTTATTTTAATTTTATTTTGTTTTAATTTATTTTAATCTTATTCTAAAGTCAATTTTAATTGATCTCTTCATTTAAGTTAATCTATTTTAATATTTAGTTGATGTCAAACTTTCTATAATCACTCACTTTTCAAACCACTTCAGCATCGGCTTGTTTTTTTCTTTCAACACGCTTCGCTTTCAAAAGTTTCAAAATTGTTTTTACTTCACAAATTGTCAGAAACGGAAGTGGTTAGTTGGGAAGAGGTTGACAGTGATGGAGACGAAATGGTTTCGTCAGGAGAAGGAAGTGGTTCACCGATACAGGAAAAGCGAGACGGTTCCGCCAGCTCAGTGAAGAAGAGGTCGCAACAAGGAAGTGGTCATGGCGAGCCAGGCAGTGTTTCCGGCAGGAGGAAAGCCACTGAACCACGTTGCAATGGTGATACGCCGGTGGCCGGAAATGGAAGCGGCTGTGGAAACAGTAGCCGCGCTTTGAAGTGTCCCTGAAAAGGTGGCCGGCAAAGGCGAGCAGTTAAGCCGGAAGCCAAGGATGAGGTTATACATGTCCAGTCAATGAGGTTGACGCCGGCGAAAGAGCGAGATGCGGAAACACTGGGAAAGTTTCAGCGTGAGGAACCGGATTTATCAAGATATGCTAAAGGCAGTGCAGCACGAAGGCGGGCGTCTGGGTGTTATGGACAGATGATGCGGCATAGATCTGGCGAAAAGGGTGCCCACGAGAAGAGACATGGTCTGGTCACCACCAGTGGCCGGCAGAAGCACGACCATGTGAGATGGTGCACTCCCGGAGATAAGCCGGAAGCAATGTCCAGTAACGCATTGTGGTTGTACATGTCGCAGCAGAAGAAAAGCTTTACCTCCAAGCAAAGACTTGACTGGAAAGATCCGTTTAAGATTGACAAACGGCTGAAAGACGCAGTGCATCGAATCCAGACAATGGGGAGACCGAGGACCAAGATGAAAGTGGTCCACTTGGAAAGTCTTGCAGCGGTTGGAGCGGCAAGTGTGTCTGATCGGGACGATCAGACTTAGGTGGAGGGCAGTGTGGCGAATACTGCGGCAACGCGAATCGAACAACGAAAAATAGGCAGAATGTTCGAGGAATGACGTAGAATGTTCCACAAAGAGAAACGTCAGTTGGATGAACACTGCGAACAGCGAGAGAAAGAGAATGAGCGATGAACTTCAGAACGTTCGAGAGTTGCCATGAGTGCGAGCGCAGGTATATAAGAGCCACGACACAGCGGAGTTGAGTTAGTTACGAGATACAAGTCAGCAAGCTACAAGTAAAGTGAGCAGAGAAGTGAGTTGCGAATAAGCAAGCTATAAGTTTAATTGTGTTAACAAGTTTAGTAAAGCGTTGTTATTGCCTTAACAAGTATTGTAAAGAGTTTTTACTGTATTAGCAAGTATTGTAAATTGTTTGTTGTACAATAAAGTTAATTGTACTACAATTTGGTCATCGTGAGCATTTATTTAACAATCCAGCGATACGAGCCCGAGTATATTTGGGAAATCCCTCAAGGTGTCGAGGAAAATCGTAACAATACATTTTAGAAAAATGGGCGTGGCATCGCCCACTTATATCATATATGTGTATCTCCAAATTTGGTATACACACTGCGCTTATCCTCCTTAAGCACCGTCTTGAAATCGGAAAAAACCACGCGTTCCACCCGGTACGTATACACTAGGGATGTCAATTTTCGGGGTTTTGTCGATCCCGGGATCCCGGGATTGTCCCGAAATTCAGGCAAAACTGCAACACATCTGTGATCATCCTATTATAGTATTTTAAATCAGATTGATATAACAAAAAAAAGTACAATTTATTGTAAATCATTTACATATTTATCAAGGCGATAAATCAGTATTTTCAATCAACAAAAAACAAACATAAAATTTAACAAACATATATGTATGTATTACAGGGCTGCATGAATTCATTCAAACTTCTAGACAAACAGAGTACAGTAGATTTGAATATATTATTTCACATACAAAACACTCAGCGTTTGGAATTTTGTAAGTTATGAATATACATTTTGTTTTATATTTTCTACCTTCAAATGGAAGAATATGAATGAATGAATGGAAAACATTCAAATCATTCAAACTCAGTTCGGTAAAAGTTTTTTTCTACAAACACGTTTTTTCGTATGTATTAGGAGCGTAGCAATACATACATACATACATAGTATGTTTGTACATATGTGCATAGAAAAAATATTTTTGGATATTCATACACAAAATTGTCATTTATTTCAATTCAATTTATTTTCACTTTGTTTGAATATTGTGATGTCGACACAAATATCAGAACAGCTATTCACTCAAATTCAAAAAAACTTTAAGCCAAAATCAATCATTCGTTTTGTATATGAATAATTCAAAAGCCGTTTTGAATGCATTCATGCAGCCCTCTAGTATGTATGTACATATCCTCATTAATTTATAACATAGTTTTTGTACTACAAGTACAAATGCATATACGGTCACAGAAATATTTTGCATAGATTTTTTTTTGCAATATTCAGAATATTTTTCATGGTATTTTTTTTGTTAATTTAAAAAAATATATATGTATGTGCAATTTTGAAGTTGCGAAAACATCCCGTCGACATTTTATATTTTTTTTTTGCTACAAAAAAATTCGTTATAAGGAAGAAAAGGCCCAACATCGTCAGTAAAAAAAATTCAAAAATCAAGGGAGTTTTTAGCAACTTTAAAATTGCACTTTATTGTATTAAATTAAATGGGCTATAAAACTGCATAATGGAATTTTTTGCAAAAATTATGATTAAAAAGTTTGATATTTTTATAATAATTTGGTGAACTTAAACCAACTTTCTCTAAAGTGTGAAATTTTGATTTACATGACTTTTGTTGTAAAATGAGCTATATATTTTTTTTAATTAACAAAAAAATACCATGAAAAATATTTTGGATATTGCAAAAAAAATCGATGCAAAATATTTTTGTAAGTGACTGTATTTGGTACAGCAGTAACTGCCTATGTAACTATATAACATTTTTTGAATCACGGTTTGAGATCAATTTACGATATTATCAGTATATTTAAGTAATAATAAAAAAGTTAACACATTTAAGTAAACAATAAATATATACGTGCATCACCTATTCCATTTCGAGCGAAGCAAAATTATTCCTTCTTTTGATGGTAATGCGATCTTAAAGAAATTATAGCATTAAGGGTTGCAAAAAAATTCTTAATTTGCCCTTGAGAGGGGATATTTGTGATAAAAATTTAATTGGCTAACAAAAAAATTTTTTCTAGTGCCCGAAAATATGCTCTCGAAAAGAGACTAGTAAAATTAAAACTGAGGTTGCTAATTAGGAATCTGAAGTCAGTTTTTCAAAATTCAAAATGGCGGATCCAAAATGGCGATCTATTTTTTTTTAATGGTTGGGTTTGTTCGAAAACCGGCATTCGAGAGTTTTTGGGGGTCGCCGATTACGAATCTGAAGTAAATTTTTTAAAATTCAAAATGGCGGATCCAATATGGCGATCAAATTAAAAAAAAATTACTAAAAATTAAAACGTTGATACTGAACGTTTTCAGCATTAACAAGGGTTGAAACTCGTTTCCAGTGGGTTTCTGAGCTTGCTGATTGTGAATCTGATGTCAGATTTTCAAAATTTAAAATGGTGGATCCAAAATGGCGACCAACTTAAAAATAAATTATTGGATTTGTTTGAAACTCTTAACCGCCATTTTGAATTTTGAAAATCTGACATCAGGTTCATAATCAGCAATCCCAGAAACCCCCTGGAAACGAGTTTCAACCCTTGAAAATGTTTAAAACGTTCAGTATCGACGTTTTAATTTTAGTAATTTTTTTTTTTAATTTGATCGCAATATCACATCCGTTATCGGCGACCCCAAAAACTCTCGAGTGCCGATTTTCGAACAAATCCAACCATTTAAAAAAAATGGATCGCCATTTTAGATCCGCCATTTTGAATTTTGAAAAACTGACTTCAGATTCCTAATTAGCAACCTCAGTTTTAATTTTACTAGTCTCTTTTCGAGAGTATATTTTCGGGCACTAGGCCCATTCTAACTGACCAAGACAGGTATGTAATTGAGGGTATGTTCCCCAATAATATCACAGTAAGTATATGTAAAAACCAGATTTTTAGCTGCATTTTAACATGTCAAGAAAATAAAACATTGAGAACATCCGCGTTTTTATAAAAAACCGATCAGCGCGAGCTTGAGGTACCGTTTATGAATTTCCAAAAAAATAAAAAATTTTGAACCACTCCAATATATACATACATACTCTTTAAGAAATAAAAGATAAGAAATTTATTAAAATTCCAGAGAAAAGGTTTTACTATTCAAAAGAAAAAATATTGATTTTTGTGGTTCGGAGACCGAACTACATACATAAGAAAAAAATAGTGCGAGATCGATTTTGTTGAATGGTGTAATGAATGTTATGGAAAAAATTCTAAAATTGCTTGTCTTATTACGAATCCTAATTGATTTACTATATTTAAAGAAGAAATCCAAACTGACCTGTACACACTGATCCTCCTTAACGATAAGCATCTGTTTACAGCAGGCAATGACTTCCTTCAAAGTGCCAACTTGTTTTTGTATAACACTTAATTCGGTGCGCAACGATAAGTTCTCCGCATTAGCCATCTGTAGAGCAAGCTGTGCATTAGCAAGTTCAATATTGGCATGGCGACCGCGACTCTGGGGATCCTCATCGTCAGAGTCTGGTCCAGCGGTGGCACCGATAATAGTACCTTCTTCTTCTACCAGCGGCCTTTCCGAATCTGCACTCGTTAGCTCGACTGTATCCTTTCGTCGAAAGCAGCGCGTAAGCTCCTGCTCATCGGCCAATTGTCTGCGTAATGTGACGATCTCATCGCGCAAGTCTTGCACGGCCGTCTGGCGAGCTAATCGCTTGATGCGCAATTCTTCTTTGAATTCTTCGAGTGTTTGTTCTCCTGCTACAGTATTGCAGAGTGCGTGTGAGTCTTGTGAGTTAAGTATGCGGTAAGCTCGAACGCTGCCTCCTGCCAATTTATCGTCTGTGCGCGGTTCCTCATACAGCATTTTAGTAGAGCCCGATGCTTCTTCGTCGCTTTCTGCCATCGCATTATCCTTATTTCTCTGACTTGCTTTTGTATTTTTTATCATCAATTGCGCATTTACATTTTCGCAACGTTTCAAAATTGAGGCAAAATCCGCGGGCAGCTCATTTTTGTTGGTACTGCTGTTATTAAGTTCACTTTCCCTTCGTGCGGCAACATTCGGCACGAGGTCTAATATCAAATCGCCATTCTCTACTTCCCACCACCAGGCATCGTCGTCGTGAGGCGGTTGCATATGCGGCTGTGGTGCCGTTGATATTGTAGATTGATCGCCGAATGTTGTTATGGTACCAACATGTGTGGGATGTTCTCTTTGCTCCGCCATCTCTCTCAGCGGCGATTTTATATTGTCCATGTCGGTGAATGCTTTGGTATTTTCTTTGTTTAATGTATGTTCGTTCGATTTCCTACTGCGAAGTATAGTGACTGATCAGTACCAAAGACAACAATTTTCGTCTTTCGAACCAAGCAAAGGACCGACTGACCCTCCCGTTGATTGGCCTCGTTAATTTGTTACCATTCATATACTTATACTATAAACTTTGTCGCGTTCGTCTTAGCCTGTACAACTGCGTTTTAAATTGTTAAAAATATTTATGCATATAATTATGTACGTATGAATGTAAAAATGTTCGAATGAATTTAATTATTAAAAGTTTTATTAAACAAAAACCAGGATTCTCACTGATAAAAACACAGTTGTGAAGTTTTCGCTTATCTTATGAACTTTGAAATAATTGACATTGTGTTTGTTCACATACGTTTTTAAGTACATATACATATACGTTTGTATGTGTTTACTCTTTAACATCTACATACGTATAAATATCTAACAATTTTCTCAAAAGCTCATTAATTTTAAGTTTCCCGGTTATCAGAAAACGAAAAAATATATATATTTCTAACCACATATTAATCATATGGGCAAATATACTTTTAATGTAGATTTTTTCATCAAATTATAGTCAGGGAGCTAGCGAGAGTAAAACTGTGCCGATTTTATCGTCAAAGACAACATATCGGGGACTTAAATTCACTGCTGTAGATTAACAGAAAACAACACTTACATCGCACCTTGGGACTATTTGGTGTCAGGAGGGTTCACATTGTGTAATAAAAAATTAAAAATAACCTTACTTTATCGTCGTTGGCCTTTTGTGTGGTTATCAATTAACATTGGACGATGTCAAAAATTGATCACTTACACTTATTTAGCGGGACAAGGTACCGCTTACAAGCGCGCAAAAATGTCAAAATTTTGGCGAAAATCGACCTATGACATCGCACTCTAAATATATCATGGACATAGAGTAACGCATTATACATAAGCGTGGGCCGAAAATCTGCTTTTTATAAGCTTTTATTTAACTTGGTCATGCCGCGGAAATTTCCAATCGATTTTAAACTAACTTCCCGACAAGTTAGAGACTTGAAATTTTCAGTCACGATGACAATGCAATTTATTATATAAATGAATTCCCCATATGGCCCAGGGTCTTGATTCAAAGGCGGTCAAAAAATAGTAAGATTTATGGCTAACAGAGCGTAATTTGCCAAAGAACGTAAAACCACTATAAAATTGTTAAAGCTGCCGGCGATAGTGTAGCAAAGCATTTGTGTCAAGTTCTAGATAACAACCTTGTCTAGATATGAACCTCGTTGTAGAAATTAGAAGACTCCAGATGTCGCCCCGCCAGAAGAAGTTAAATATTGCGCCTAAATATATGCAATTTACATATGCTACAGCGGAAATGGACGACACGTCATATCTTTAAATGAAATTAACTGCTGCTATATGTACATATGTATGTTTATACAAAACGTAAGCAAACATTTTGCTAGCATAGTCTTCTGTTCTCTTTCATTGCAAGTTGAATTATTTTAATATCTATTGCAAAATTTTGTACATAAAATGAAATAACACTTTTTAATATACAACGCTTTTATAAATGGACTAAAAATTAGAAAATAAACTAATGTAAAAAAAATATTTTTTAAAAACAATTGTTTTAAGCTTTTATTTAACATGTACAATCAAAGGAATAAAATAAAGTAGTTTAACAAAAGATTTTTTAGCATGAAAATTTTGTCAAAACTGCACTAAAATGAATAAAATAAAATAAGTTAAGGTCTCGTTACAGTTACTAAAAGCCATCTAGTGAAAGGAGTTATTCAAACTCTAATGAAAATTACTAACAATTTGTACTAATTTTCTTAGTTTTTAATTCGGCGAATTCAGCGTGCATGCATAATTGGTTAGGTATGTATATGTATGTATGTATGCAGATATTTAAATGCCGGTTTGCTATTCGCGCGACAAGCTTTTTTAAAAACGAAGTAAATTAGTACAAATTGTTAGTAATTTTCATTAGAGTTTGAATAACTCCTTGCACTAGATGGCTTTTAGTAAATTTAACGAGACCTTAACTTATTTTATTTTATTCATTTTAGTGCAGTTTTGACAAAATTTGCTTGCAAAAAAGTCTTTTTTTAGACTACTTTATTTTCTTCCTTTGATTGTACATGCTAAATAAAAGCTTGTTTTTAAAAAATATTTTTTTTACATTACTTTTTCATTTTTTGTCAGTGCTATCAGATCTGCACGATTCGTTCTATTTTAAAAAATGAAGTGTCAGATTAAAAAACTTGACCTGTAGACAATAGAGGTTTATTTTTTTAAAGAGTTGCCACCTGTTAAAAAATTAAATTCAAACTATTAAAATAAGTTAAATGAGTTATTAAAATATTGGTATCAGTAGAAATGGGTGTGAAAAGGGTTTATTTCTTAACTACATGTAGCAGGGTTGCCACCTATTTAAAAAATCGATATGCATATGTATTAAGGGAATTAGGTAATTGAAATACATAGGTATCACCAAATGGGGACAGAGGTTTAAGAAGGTTACAGCTTATAAATATTTTGAAGAGGGTTGCCACCTGTTTGTAAAGGCCAATTTTGTTAAACTAAAATAACAACTGTTTCAAACCGAAATACATTGTCAATCAGTGATTTGTTCTTTCTTGCTAAATATGCCCAATTTTTTCCTTTGGCTGAAACCCATATTGGTATATGTACATATTTCCGTTACCTTATTCCCTTAATTAAAGTGAATTTGATTTTTTCAAAAAGAGACAACCCTTCTACGTGTCGTTAAAAGTAAAGCATTTTGAAAACCATTTCAATGGATACCCATATTATAATATCGAATTCATTTAACTTATTAAATAATTTTAATAAAATTTGTAACAGGTGGCAAGCCTTTACAAAAAATAAATCTTTATTGCACATTTGCAGGCCAAGCCCTGTCATTTGACACCTCACTTTTGAAAATAGAACGAACTATATGTACATACCTAGTATGTAAATGCCACAAGAACCCAAATTGTCAACTTCAAACCGCATTTATAGTGCAAGTATGAAAGTTATCCAAAAACAAATTGCATTCTTCAATTTAACGTCCTCAATTTATTAAGAAGCGAATTTTCATTTAAATCCGTCCATAATTCAATTTTTGCCCACATTTTATATAGAAGAGAAGCACTGTGCGGCGGCGACTTTGCCGATCACTTACACTCACTCATTTTTTTTTTGAGAGCGCGCCCAGGAACTCGTTTTCGTACTTGGCAGCACTGTGGATTTCTTCTTCCCGCATTTTTTAATATTACTATAAAACAGTATTTGTAACTAAACGCAATTTTCCTGGCAATATAAACAGTGAAATATAAAATAGATATGAAGAATATTGCAACTTTTGTTCGTTGTGTTTAATGAAAAGTTTATCCATAAATTTCTCTATAAATGCCCATACATGTTTTCGATACAGTCATAGTTGCCAACTTAGTGCTTTAAGCACTAGATTTAGTGCTTTTTGAAAATTAAAACGCCAAATAAAATTGTTTAGTGCCTAGTGCCCTTTTTAGTGCTTTTTTTAACTAAAATTCCTGAATTTACAAGAATCTACAAATTTAAATGCACTAAAATGCAAACCATGATTGATAAAAAAATGAAGTTGCAAACCCACGTTCTTGCGTTCTTGTAAAATTGTACTCGCGTTGAAAATGGTAGCACGCAGATAAGTTAAGTATTTATTTCTTTATTTTCTTGATTATAATCAATAATTATTGATTGATTACACAGTTCGAAAAATTTGATCTCTTTTTGCCACCTGAGTGAGGTTTTTGTAGATTTTTCAGTGCTGAATCCAAAACTGGCTGCAGAATTTCTCTACCACGTCAGAATTTTGAGATATCCTAACCTCTAAGTCTAAAAACACGGTTTTTCACAATATTTGGAGTTATATTATAAAACAACAAATTTTTTCGCTCATTTCTACTTAAAATTCAATTTCGTTTGTTGCGATTCGATTGTTTTTCTCCAGATGTACCAGTTTTAATGTGCAGTACTTCGGTATTACTTCGTAAGCATGAATGGGTATTTATCAGACAACAGCATGAGTTTACTCACTTGCATCTAAACAGTATGAACTCGTTGCTGTGAACTCTATAAGGTTAGTGAGAAACACCGTACAAACAATGAGATTCATAGTTAGTTTTGAAATCAATGTTTAGCTGCAGTGTACTCATTTGATTTCAAATATGGCATTGATATACTCTTTCCAAATCAAGTGAAGCGAGTGAAAAATGCCGTTATGAAAAGCAAGTCGAGCAATCGAGTGACACCCATTGATTTCAAACAATTAGTAGAGAATACGACAATTTTGAAAAAAATGGATATTGATGAAGTATTTTTTTAAATATATAAGTTATATATTTATTTTACTATTTAATATTATTAGTTTACCTGACGTACATTTATATAATTAGTCTACAAAAGAAATGCAATGTTACCTCAGAAGACATCGGCTTTATAAGGGACTTGAAAAATAAGTTGCTTTATTATTTAAAAACAGTTGCTGTTGAAAACTAACAGATTTGCACAAAATTGTGCTTTTTTATACCCGCCAGCAAAAGAGCTGGAGAACTTTACCGAATCTGAGCAAAGGTACACAAACGAGAAATGTTTACAAATTATGAGAACGTTAATTGAGAATTCTGACAGTACAACGGAACCACAAATTACGGATACACCTTTGTTACCTTCAGACAACTTTGAGCTGTTTTCAGGTCTTCTTAAACAACCTACCTTTGTGAGCAGAACTGATAAAGCTACTTCACAGCTGCGGCGATATGAAAATATTGAGGTATATTTTCATACGGACTTCGATATAATTAATTGGTGGGTGCCGCTGCTGCATAAACTCAGTCGTAGAGTAATAGCCACTCCTTCAACTACCGCATCGTCAGAAAGAGTTTTTTCTTCTGCTGGAAATGTTATTTCTGACAAAAGATGCCACCTTTTGTCAAATGATGATGCCCTTAATCAGTTGATATTTTTGCATTATAATATTAACAAAAATTGTCTTTGCAAATGTTTTTTCTTTGATACTTTCATTACAGCAGTTATGCCATGCACTTGTTTTTCAAATCAAGCACTTGTTATTTGAATCGAGCACTTGATAGTGTGAATTACTCACTCAACCGACGATGTTTTTTCAATGATATC